CAATGTACACATGACCAGGGCTTGCAGGAAGCAGATTTTCATGACAATGGTTGTAGCAGAGCAATGTGCAAATAGTGGGATCTCAATCAAAGGACAGCACTGAGAGGATCATGAACCCAAAATCATTTCTGATCGCCCAGTCTCAACAGTTGCAGGCAGTGGGGAGTCTGCTTGTTCCACAAACACCACCCTCTTCAGCCATGAGAGTACAATATTGAGATACTGCTTCATGTGGAGGAGCCCTGGGTGGCCCCTGAATCCTTGGGAAGAACCACTAGAGAGCTTTAAGGGTTCATGTAATTAGTGCTCGGGTATTTGAAGACATCCCCAAGCATGAAGGAATTGTCAAATGCCTCACAAGGAGACTATTTGGTCATTCATATCACTGTGGTGGTAAAAAAGTTTTAGCTACATTTGATGAAAATTACCTCCCCTTCCTAACAGGGATTCCCATCAGGCTCACTGCAAAAGAAATTTGGAGAGACAGAAATGGGAGGTTGAGTGGCACCAGAGAGGACCAATTCAAGAAACATCAGGAGAAGTCCAATAGGGAGTGCCTGGTCAGTGCCTGGGAAAGAGAAGAGGAAAGCTTTCAGAATAAAAATTATTCAACCAAAAAGGGAAGAACACAACAGTCCTTTCTGTCCCTCCTTCCTCCCCCTATTTTTCCCTTCTTAATGTAAGCTGATCTGTTGCAGGTGGAGTGGGAGCTTCAGAGAGGGTTTATTAAAGAAGCCTGGCCACTGAGTCACGAGGTACTGAGAAGACTCCCTTGCTCTCTGAATCCCTTCTCAGAGACAGGAGTCCAGGGCCGGCTGGATCTTATCTCAGCCTCAGACTGTCCTGTTTGAGTTATCTGACCAGTTAACAAACAACAGATAAACTGTCATGGGGGGTAAGATGCCCTGCTACATCATCCCACAACCTGAAGTCTTTCGAGATCTGCTCCCATGAGAGTCCTGTCCACAGGCTGCAGTCCTTATGGATAAGGCTGCTCCAGGGGCCACACTGTTGCAATTTTCATCTGCGCTGGCATGGGGTCCTCCATGGTCTGCAGGGTGGACAATCTGCCCCACCATCCCTCCTATGGGCTGCGGGCTCCATCCCATCACCACGGGCTCCATCTCATCACCACGGGCTCCATCCCATCACCAGAGGTACCTCCTCCACCTTCTTCTCTGATCCTTGTGTTTGCAGGATTTTTAATGTAACTCATCAGTTCTGTTTTTCTTCATCCCACACTTCCTGTGCACTGTTTTGCCTTTTCTTAAATATGTTTTCATGAAGGCTTGACCAGTGTCACTGAGAAGCTCAGGCTTGGCCAGCACCGAGTCCATTTTTAGCTGTCTGGATCTGGTTTTGTAAAACATAGGAACATAGGAACAGCGCTTGGGATCTTCTTGCAACCTCCTCACTGTTACAAAAACCTTTTCATGTAATGGGGGGTACAAGGGAGCATAAAGCTAATCTAGGTGAATAAAAAAATTCAGAAGGAAAGAACCGGTTCAGGTTGGTTTAATAGATTATAAAACAAATTTAATTTCATTAATTTCAAATTCAGCAGGGAAACAATGTTTCAGCTTCAATAAAGGGCAGATGGAACTCTGAATAATCTTAAAATATTATGCTGTAAGATTTGGAAAGAAATGCTCCAAAAAGTACAACCGTCTAAAGTCCTTGGTAGATCTACTTCATGTCTTTGGCAAGTTGAACAGACGGAGCTAGTTAAGGTGATTCCCACAAGGTTATTATCTGGAGATCTGAACTGCTGTATTTCACATTCTCCTTGGGCCTCTTTGAACCCCTAGCACACTTTCCCAAAGGATTCTTCCTGGCAGGTCCCTAAGGCAACAAAAAATGCATTTATGGAGTGCAGGGTTGCAATTTTGCCCTCTATTCTGCACAACCACTGCACACCACAGACAGGAGAGCTACCTCAGCTTTCTCCAAAATCCCAGTTAAGGTTCCAGGTCTGCAAGTGTGTATAAACTTAACGATGTCCTGCTCGTGTTCTGCCTCAGGCTTCTGTCTTACACGTGTCTGGAGTCAAGTTGGAAAGATAAGTCAGTGAGTCAGAGAGTCAAGGTCAGGATAAGGCCTCATGACAGCATTCAAGGTTCAACAATATCCAGTGATCGCCAGGAGTGCTCATAGAGGTAAGGAAAGTGCCAAGACAAGCTGGGAAGTCACACATATGTCAGAGTCCAAACTGAGCTTGGTGAGGTCCTTGGCCAGATACAGGCACAGAGGTGTCACAGCAGGAGCTGTGACTCTGTTTGTGGACAAGTACTAGAATTTCAGCTTGAGACCTCCTCCTGTGGAAACAGAAGTTGGACCTGGTTGAAGCACTGTCTGCCAAAGTTCCCAGCAAGGCCACTAAAGGGAAGGGAGCAGCACTCAGCTATGCTATGTGGCTTGATCCAACTCTCCTACATCTGACAGCAGAGCAACACCTGGATATGGGTTCCTTCTGTCCAAGACCCATTTGCTGGGTGGTCCCAGCCCTGCTCAGTCAGCACCTGGCTGCTGAGCTGTAGAACTGCATCTGGCACTGTGCATTCTCCCAGACAGGAGGAGCCTGTGTCTCACCCCAGTCATCAGCAATGTTCCTTCCACCAGAAGGGGATCCACAGAATGGTAACAACTTGCAGAAGTGGGCAGGCTTCCTCGGTTTATCTCCCTTTCCATAAAACAAGAACTGGAGAGTGCAGGAGGCAGAAGCTGACTTCAGTGCTAGTTCTCTGTCAGCTTGAAGCCATGACCATTCAGCTGTAGAATCCATACCAAGTGCCATTCCTGATGTCAAAGGAAACATGTGAATGCTCCAGGGAAGAGTCCTGCTGCTCTGGCCTGCACATGCCCTCAGGAGGGTCACCCAAGCACAGAATGATGCACATGTGCTCAAACACACCTGCATGGAATAATGCGAAGATCTGTATGCTCACACAGAGTCAGCAAAGAATCAAGAAGAGACTGAAAAGATGTGCAGTTCTAGGAACTCTATTGAGGAGATACCGGGTACAAGTATGGCAGAAAAATACTCAGGTATCCTGCAGAAGGATCCAGCCCCAGACAACTCCTGGTATTCCCAGAGGACCCACAGAGACTGCACAGGAAGACAATGAGCCAAATGAGGCAAACACAATTTTTCTGAGCACTGTTAAAGCAGACACAGCATCCAACCCTCCTAGCAGATGCAGACCGATGTGCAACAGCGAGTGACAATACTGGAGAGATGGGGAAAGCAAGAGAAAATGATGTGTTATGTCCCCTCACATGTAAGCCCTTGGACATATGGCCAAGAAGCACGAGACTGATGACCATTTCCTGACAACTTGCACAAAAACAAACACACAGGAATGACACAGGTGAACACATTTGTCCACAGAGGATGCTGCCAGCAGAAGTTCCAAGCATTCTAAATGCACTCAGCATTGTTTTTGCCCAGGAAGTCCTTAAATCTCTCATCCTAGCACTTAGAGAAATGACCCTTCATGTAGGAAAGAATGCAGAATTAGCCAGGAAATGAAAAGGCAGCAATGCAGGAAACCAGGACACAGACCCTACAATTAGCTGGGATGGCTCACATTTGACATGAGTTGGTGACAAAATTTTGACTTCCACTAAGGTGCCTGTGGGCCGGAGGCAGTGCAGGACTGCTATAAAAGGCAGGCCAAGTCTCTGTGCTCTCATCCACTTCTCTCACCTCCTTCTCCTCAGGAATCAGGTGAGTGAAAAGCTGCTTCTCCTCCTCCTCCTCTTCCTCCT